AGTGCAACAGTAGACATATAGAATGTATTAAACAAATAAACTCACTCAAGATGCCCTGATACAAGCTAATCTAATGATTCAAAGACTAAACTTCATTTAATTTAACTGGCTTTCCATCCCAGGATTGTGGACTAAAAGATAGAGCCAAAAACATCTGAAAACTGGAATTAGTTTCCTATATATCACCAGAATTGGTAAAGTACATCAAATATTGAATCCAAATATTGGCATAAATTTGATGGAAACTAAGACTTTTGGCCATTCGCCAAGACATCTTACAAGGCTTTTACCAGAAAGCCAGAAAAGCCCCAAGAACGAGCCTTTCAAAATCCAAGGATTCAAACTAATAGACTTGTTACGTACCTTTGTGAAGAAACTTACAACCGCCACAGGCTAGAAGCTTGGATGTAAGAGTGCAACAGTAGAGGGCCAAGCAAAGTTCCATATCTGTTCCACCAAATTGCCCGCTAGAAAACTGGCATACAAAGCTGATATCAAGATTAATTCAGGTGAGGAAATAAAAAACCATTGGTAAAATACCACAACAGAAAAAAAAAACTCTTTGTTTAACATTTAAGTAGAGATGAGGGTAAGTGTCATCATTTCCCAAATAATATTAGCTCAAAGTCAAATATGGTACTAAAGCGTCCAACGTAACATTTTAAAGTTTGATAGTTCTCTCCAGTAAATTTTCAGTCCACATCCCATCTTCCTATCAGGTAACAATTCAGCAACAGAGGAAGAAGCAATAAAACTCTACTACATGTTGAGATGAGTAGGAGTTGCTGCAAGAGCATCTTGTTCCTCCTTCGTAAGAACCTGAATAGTCGGTAGAGGAAACTTATTACCAAATTGATATAAACTCTGATATAATATTGAATATTGAAAAACAACTGGGATTGTCACCAATAAAATTATGGACGATTATGGAGAGAGAGTGGGGCCTCTCAAAACAAAACAAGACCTTATTGGTGGGTCCCGCACCTTCCACCACTTTCCGTCATTTGATTGGACATTGATAACCTTAGTGAACTTGAACCATATTATAGTATAATTTCCCATAATAATAAAACAGAATATGAGGGAGAACGGGGTAGCACAGAGCCATAATATGCAACCCAAAGTCACAATGTGAAATCCTTGAGGTAACTTTATATATATATATATATATATATATATATATATATTAATAATTCCCAACTCTTACCGGCAAAGCTGTCCAAAGACTATTTACATAGGAGTCTTTATTGAGAAGTTGCAAAGATTCATCTTCAAGCAGCTCTGTATCGACATGCATGACAGGAATGGAGCATCCAGATGGAATAGATGGAAGATTTTCAGTGATATCATCCTCTGTAGGAATGTTGTTTATTTCTACATCAGCTTTCAAGCAACATTTCAAGATTCATGTTTATCATTGATCAAAGTGCTGATGCGACGCTGGTCTTTGATTGAGGCACGAGAGCGCTTCATCTTTCTCATTGAGTAGAGCGACTCAAGGAGCACAAAGGAAAAAGGAGTGAAATGTATAATCATTTATCCTAGAAGAAAAAACAAAGGGCATGAAGTCAATTAGTGAATTTGCTAATCCAAAAGTTTGATCTTGCATTATAGAGAGCATCTAATAAATTTCAAATTTTGAGATAAAAAATAAAGCTCCACATAGAAGAGAGTCCGAGAGCAGTATCATATGATGCATCTCTGGAAAGCTAAAACAGCAAATTAGCTACCATAGAGATTATGGTACCAGAATATATATGCATTTGTTAGAGAAGAAAGAGAACTGTTGTAACACAAGAAATGGTTCAATAAAAAGAATTGTCTTAATCTCATTATGTGATCAACAGGCATTGACTTAGGTCTGAGGCAAATCCAAAATAATGTTAAAATCAACCAAATAAGTTACTAAAAAAAAAACAAACAAGCTGAAACTACTTCTAGTTTTTATTAATAATTGAGATTTGAAGGGTCTATGGCACACCCACATCATAATTTGAAAACACAAGAACTTCAAAGTAATAGTTTTTAGCAATCCAAATAGTTAGGGGAATAGTTTGTGATCAGGGCTGAGAATTTACTCTGTCCGGATCTGAAACCCAAAATTTGGATCCTATCCGGATCTGGATATGGATCCAAGATTTGGATTAAAAATTGGATCCGAATCCGAAATCTAAATCCAAATAGTAACTCAGATCCGATCGGGGTATAGGTGGATCCGATTCAGATCCAACCCAAGTTTTTAAAATGATATATATTATTTTATATATATATATATATATATATACACACATAAATATGGTATTTTATATTTATTTATTTATATATAATATATATATAAATGGTCTCATTGTATAATTTTCTTACATATAATTATTCTAACTTTTACAATTATATTTTCACTTTATAATAGACAAAATTAGAACTGAGCCGGATCCGGATCCTATATATAATTTTCGAATATGAATAATATTTTGGATCTAATCGGATCCGGATCCCGATCCGGATCCAGAATCAGATCCAATGTATCTTTTTTGGATGTGAATCTAGATCTGGATCTGGGTGGATCTTGAGCCCATCCGAAAAATTCTCAGCCTCGTATCATGTAGTACTTCGTGCTCGGCTCAAAAAAAAAAGAACAAATACAATATTTTAGGGCTGCTATATGAAAATATCTTTTAAGATAAAAACCCAGAAAACAAGTGACTTTAACCTTACTTGAAGATTAATAAGAATGTCTCTAATTGGTAAGCTATTTAATTGCTCTGCCCCTGAGCCACTCTATTTTCCTATCAAGGATCCGACCAACCTTACTGTAAGTTGTTTACATATAAAATAACGCATCAAAATGGAGCTAACGATTTAGACAAAAAAAACTAAGGAAAACAAACTTATAGAAGCCTGAGGTATTTACAGTTGCCAATTTCATAGGGATCTGACCGGTTAAATCACTGCATTATAGAGAGAGAAAATCAAAACCCAAATTTATAGAAGCCTGAGGTATTTACAGTTGCCAATTTCATAGGAATCTGGCACGTTAAATCACTGCATTATAGAGAGAGAAAATCAAAACCCAACGACGAAGCCCAAACTAATAAACTACATAGATAATGGAAGTAAAAATTTAGATCCATACCTGCGTGTAAAAGGGATGGAATTAAAAGAAAAGTGAGAAAATTATGATTTTCCATACCGAGTGATCCAAAATCTTGACAAGAACCAGAAAGAAATCATTGTCCACTTCTTTGATATCCATTCCCAATATAACGACCTCTTTATTCATGAGCGAAAGCTTTGGATCGACATCCCAACCTCCTTCACAAACCAATTCCTTGAAAAGCTTAATGCTTGATCACTCATCTGAAAGGCTTTAAAATAAACGTCTGCTCCTCCATCTTCATCAACCTCCAATTTCACAACAGCATTGATCCACTCGTTCATATCGCTCTTTGTGTGAAGCTCAGCAGCCTGTAGAACCTCTAAATTTAACAAAGTATAGTCCCTCTTGTTCTGGCTAATGGTTTGAGTAGAATATAAAACCTACTTTTCTCTTTCGTGAAAATGGCTTCCTTACTCGTCTATTTCAAACTCCACCTCTCTCTCCTCTATTCTCTCTCCTCTCTCACCTCTCCTTTCTCTCTCATCTCTCTCGCTTATACCCCTCTGCCTCTTACTCCTTTCTCTCTTCTCTCCTGATATCCCTCTTTCTCTCTGCTCTCTAATATCTCTCTCATTTCTATCCGTTGTACTCTTCCTTTCCCTCTCTTTGCACCGCCTCTCTAGGAAACACCGACACTCAAAAAAACCAGGAAGCATCTTCCTAATTGACAATTAGGACTCCTGCCAAATTGGTTAAAGAGGGAAAGTGTCATACGTGCATTGCGTTTTAAATTTTAAATTTTTTACCATAGTTAGCAAAGGCGGGGATATTGAGAAGTGTTTTGAGTGCATCTGCTTTTTACCATAGTCAGCCGTTGGAGAATAATAAAAAGGAAAGTTGTTTCACGCGGTTTGGACCGCATTTCTACCGATGAAAAGGGTAAAGCATCCATCTTAAAAATGGATGTAAGTAGGTGTTCTATCAAAACTAACGGTATAAATATTTTTTTATTATAATTATTATTTTAAATTTTTAAAATTTATTTATTTTTTATATAATTAAAATAATAATTATATTAAAAAAAAATATTTGGAAAGTTAGTTACACTTGTTTTTAGATAGACCACCTTTATACCTCCGAACCGCATATTCTAGAAAACGCATATTGTAGATCTGGTTTCTATGCGGCTAAACCTGCATATGTAGAAATGCGGGCCTTTTAATAAATCTATTTTTTAAATGTATTTTTTGGACTTAATTTTTAAGGACATGTAATCTCTAATATGGAATCAAGAATATGAATAAATAAATAAATTTTAAACACTAGAAATAATAATTCTACTTTCCATTGTTTTTAGATGGAACACCTACTTGCATCCATTTTAAAGATGAATGCTTTACACTTTTTGGACCGCATATGTAGTCATACGGTCCAGCCCGCATGAAAAAAATTTCCATAAAATATTGACACACTAAAATATCAATAATAAATTGAATTCATTTTAAAAAGTCAGAAGCAAAAATCGGGTCAAAAATACAGATCCCCTACAAATAAAAACAACCATATAATTATGAATATTTCGGATTTGATACAAAAAACCATAGTGGAAAAAAATGGATATACAAAGATGACATTGAAAGTTCGACCAGTGTAATCTTTACCGGGGATTTTTTTTTTTTTTTCTCACCCCTTTTCTTTTCTTTTCTTTTATTTAACAAAAATCACCTGCAAGTAGTCTTATTACAATAACTCTTGCTTCAAATAAAATAAAAATTTACCAATCCATGAAAAAATAACCACAAATCTTGTGTTTGAGAATATAAATACTACATAATTAAATATGTCAGAATTGAAAGAGAATGCTGGACATTACCTCAATCGGGTTTATTACACCCCACACCCAGTCACCACCATCCGATGGCACGGGATCGACGGTCTTCATTCAATCTCAATCGAAAAAGCTAATTTCGACCAAGTTCTTCAATGGAAACTTCTTCAATGTATGCTCACCCAAAAGTCTTCAGGATCAATCCCCAAAAAAAATTGCCTCAAAAATTTATCCTTTTTAATTTCTTTTTAAAGCTCAAAACTTGAGAGAGAAGAGAGTGCTTTTAGAATGGGGCGTGACCCTCTATATAATGTTTAGGGAGAGAGAGAAAGGGGTTGTATAAGAAAGAGAATGGGGGTGTGCCCCTTAAAATAAGATAAGGGAGCGTGAGAGAGGAATGAGAGAGATGACCTTCTATTTATAATGTTATAATTTTCCTTTATATGTTAATGAAGTTATTTTCTGAAGTTGTAATTGTGTTAAATAAAAATTAAAAAATATACTTCTGAATGGTTTTTTAGCCCCATGATTTTGCTTGTTAAATGATATTTTTCCAAAATTAAATGGTTACAAATCGACTTTAACACGTTGAGTAAGAGAGAGAAAAGCCCAAAGTATAATTGACCACAAAATTTACTCAAACTTTGGTGTTACATAAATGCTCCAATAATAAAAAGAAATAAAACAAACTTTTCGTTATGGTGCACATAATTTACTCAAACTTTGGTGTTACATAAATGCTCCAATAATAAAAAGAATAAAATAAACTTTTTGTTATGGTGCACATGAGTACGCATACTACAAGGAAATGGTTCCCTATGACTATCAAATCAAGTAACGCCTCACCACCTAACCGATCGAAAATTACAATTTAAATATTATAAAACCTTTACATCAATTATCTTATGTGTTTGTGAAAAAAAACTGCATTTCAAGCTTTTAAAATAGCGTACATTACATCATATTATCTAAACCGTCTAATTATGCTCTAAAAATAAGTATTCATAGACCCACAAGATCTGTAATGTTTTTTTAGTTTTAAGTTTTACTATCAACGTTAAAAATTGATTTTAAAGCCATCATAAAAAATTTGTCACCTAAACTACTTTTGATGATATAAGGGGAGCATTATAAAAATCTCATCCATACGTCTACCCATATTTTTTCAAATAAAAATAGGAGGAGATTAGCACCCTGGGTTTGTCGTAGGATTACTAATGCAAGATTGATGTGGATGCGATAACTATTTTCTCGAATAATTGTATTCTCCAATCGTTGTAACTGTTGATTCATTTCACAAAATTATGTTCGAACATCCTCTATGACTTAGGTATAATTTTTTAAAATTTGTCCTAGGATCATCTATAGTAGGATTAGCTTTGCTCGCATGCCAACTAAAGCATGGTATATGGAGGGAAGAAATTATTAAAATAAAACTACTAATAAAGAATGATAGAATATATCCTCTTTCAGGGTCTATAAGGGAATCAACCCCAAAAAATAGTTTCACAATTTCAACTTCTTACTCAATCACCAATTCTCTCCTCCAAAAGGAACATCTCTCTTTTTAATACACTTAGAAGAAAGAAAAAATAAATAAATAAATAAATCTCACAAAAAATAAAACACTCTTTCTCTAAGTCACACACACAACTTTCCCTTATATATATATATATATATATATCTGACTTCCACGTAAATCTCTTTTTCATATTTCCTCTCTCACGTCTACCTTCCTATTTCCTCTCTAAATCTAAATCTCTAAATTCTTATTCAAATTTTTTCTCCCTCTAAATCTCTTCTTCTCCCAACGTGAGGCCCACAAATCTTGAACTAAATCTCTTTAAGTCCATGAAACAAGAACTTTCTCATTTCAACCCACGTTACCCATGAGCCCATTAGCAAGTAACTAGAAATACCCATTGTCAACCATAAAAATTAGAAACTTTATATCTTAACCAATTCCTAAAAAAAAATAACTCAAAAAATAATAAAATATAATTTTGAATTTTACCTAATTTTTATCTGCATCACTTGTACTCCTGCATCTAAACAGTGTGCCTTTGAATTTATCTAGCAATATCATACAAGGGTCAAGAGAAGCTACTACTAGGAAAAATTATGGACACTCAAATCAAGAGCCTGACTTTTGGCCCTTTACGAACTAGCTAAACCAGTCCAACTATTTCACTTTGTTTATTTGAATGATGCTACCATTCTCTGAGCTCTTATATTTGACTAAGTTCTCCCAATAGAGGCTAGATTTAGTTCTAACAATCAAAAATATAATAGGCGAGTCCAGCTTTTAGTTCCCTTGATACGGAGATATCCAATCCACCATCCATTGGG